TCAAGTCTTTTCCAATTGTACGCATTGTATAGACTGGATTTCATGAAACCTTTTGATCGACCGATGTTTTATTTCATTTTATTTTTATAGCGTAAAATACCATTTAAAAATATATATATAATTAAAAAAATGGAAATAGAGCGTGCTTCTTACACTGTGTTCGATGGTGTTGAAGTTTCATGGTTGAAAGACAATTTTGGAACTGAGTCAAAGAAAGAAAGACTTTCTTTGACTCGGTTCCATAATTCGAAAATCAGATGCCTCTCTGCCATTTTCAGTTATAAGATTAAAATTCAGCATGGAAAAGTTTATCGTGTGACCGAGCGAAAATTCAACGGAAAATGGTAAAGCAGACCAAAAAAAAAAATGGTATAGAAGAGCAGGCCGCAAGGAATGTCAAATTGCTGATATGTGACGTAAGTTATATTTGCTTTATCTTCTGTCGTAGAAGTTTGTGGAATGAGAAGTGTCACCGGAGTCGATGGTCCCCAGTAAATCGAGGCGAGATTCGGGGAGCAAGCACTCCCAATGGGAAGGGAAGCGGTTGGTGGTAGTGCATTAGAAATGATTTCGTGAGGCGGGCGGAGGAATTTTCGTTTGCCCCCGAAATGAAGGGGGGGGAGAAAGCTTGAGGATCGATTTGTGATGCCATTCTGCTTGGTCTTGCGCGGTTGACTGGATCTTTCGGGTTCTAGTGACTCCGCGTTGACGAATCTCTCGGCCGGCTTGGATGAAATGGGGCGTGAGATGGAAGGGACGTGGTAAGAAACCGTGTGCTTATCGAGGTAGAGCCCTGCACGGGTTGAGTTTCCGGAGTCCGACCCGAAACCCGAATTTCAACCGAACTCCGAGCAAAAATTAAACACTTTAGCGAAGTACAACTTTCTGCTATCGTGTGCTCGGCTGCGCTGTAATTTCGCTCAGATGGTGAACTGCTCTCAGGAATGCAAAGAGTTTTTCGCGCCAGTTTCGCCGATTTTGGATGATTTTCACGAGGTGCCTTCCACCGTATCGGCCTAAGATCCCCTTGGTGAATTTATATTTTTTTGGTATCTCTTCATTTTTTCTTCTGTCACATGGTCAGATGTGGCGTCATATTGACTGCATTCGATTGTCTTCTTCCTCTTTGGTAATGCCGAGCACTCATGGCGACTGATTGGGATTGCGAAATTGTTCTCCGCTCTTATAGCCCTCATCGAGGGCTCTTCTCCCCCGTGTCATCGGCTTCTGAGAAAATTTTTTTTGAAGAGAAGCTGCCGTGTTGATTCCGGTCTCGATCGGCGCCGACTGCCCCTAGCCCGTCTCGGATTCTTTCTTTCTTTATTTACGTTAATGGTCACACAATGCTGTTTTCCTTCTTTCAGATTACATGCCTAAATAAGCTTCCAGTCGTGTCACGGGGTTTCTGTCGTCTCAGACCAGAGGAGCCATACAATTGTAAAAATTCGGCCCTGCCCGAAGAAGGATCTCGGAAATCTCGGCCCTAGACGGCCCGCAGCCCGTGCAGGGCTCTAATCAGAAGGTATCGCCTCTGAAACCTGCGAGGTAGAGATAGGGGACAGATTTGATATTTTACGCTTTTTTTTTTCCCGATGAGAGCCTTGTGCAAGGTGCAAGCGCCTTGCGGGTCTTGACTTCCTTTCCTAGGGATCCATCAGAAGCTGGCGAGATTTCACACGCCGGACAGTTTTCAGTTTGCCGGATAGAGTGGTCGTGTTGACATTTGAGTAGGGATTGCTTCCATTCGTTGCAGCTTTCCACTTGATTGGTCGTGAACCTTTTCGTTCTATGAAGGCACGAAAACCCTCGTGCACAAGGAGTAGAATACTGTGAGGGCGGGGCGGGGCGGGGCGCATGCGCGTGCCAGAACTGGGTCCACTGGACCAGGGTGACCCGGGCAACCTTTTCTTTCTATTCAGACTACAGCAGGATACCTAAGGGACTTGAGAGCCACACTCCAGTTTTTTAATATTATTTTTTTTTTTTTTAGAAGTCTCGGGGTTCGATGGTCAGCGATAAAAAAAAACTGATAAAAAAATTCAATGTTGTGATTTAAAAAATTGGTGGAATAGTAATTGTTTTGGGAGCCAAGAGCCAAAGTCACTAGCCGATGTGGCTCGTGAGCGTCGAAGCGACTGTGTACTCAGACTTGCAGCTGTGGAAATTGAGGGAAAACTTGTTCGAAGTCGATCGTGGAATACCTGTCGCAGCCACTGGGAACCACCGGATGAAGGGGGAAGACTTGTGCTGACGGGTTTTCTGGGACCGGGGGATGGCACAGCCGAGCCGCCATAAATGGTCGCGGGGATTGCTGCAGGGGTGGTCACGTGACAGGGCCGAGGCCGAAGATATGCCTTATTTGTTCGTGACTCTGCTATCTCCCGTTCCCAGCCGATAAGATGTGTTTTGATCGCTCGGGTGATGCAATGCGTTGAAATGTGCGACGCGAGATTCCGCCATCGGGAGGTTTCTTTCGTGGATTTCTGCCGGTGCAGGCGTTTGCGCCGATTTTTTTTTTTGCAGCCGGTTGGAATTTTGGCACCATGTTCGCCGAGTGCGTTCGTTCTCAGGGCTCGTCGAGTGTCTCTCGGAGGCATCGCGTCGACACGATGCCGCGTCGCCCGGTCCCAGGACCCTATCGCCGCGGACGGCCGCGCAAGACGCCATAAAAGGCGAGACGATTTTGCAATCCCCGCCGATAAGGAGGCACGCGATAGCAGCGCCCGCACGTCTCGACCTGTTCCCCCCGACCTTGTCCCCACCGCGGAACGGAAGAGGACTCTGGCGGCGGGCCTCGGCAGGTCCGCACGCGCGACTTCCGCTCTGGCCAGTGCAGCATGGCGTCTCCATTCGTGCGGAGCCTCTTCCATGTGCCTCGTCGTTATTCGGGGTGATCTCGTCCCCCCCCCCCGCCCCTTCGCCCCCCCCCCCCCCCNCGCGTGATAGACTCGACGGCCGGCCCCCCCCCCCGCCCCCCTTCCCCCCCCCCCCCCCCCCCCCGTATCGATCCGAGTCGTGGGCCAAGGTCGCGTGTTTCAGATCCCGGTCCCCATCATCTGCCCGTCTCGAGGGTTGCGGCCTCGCTTCGCATCCGACCCGACGTCGTCGTAGAGGCCCTCGCGAGACGGCCGGCCTCGTCGCTCCGGGGCCCGTTACGTAATGTGCGATGGCGGAAACACGCGGGAAGGAGCCCGTCGCCGTCAGGCAAGGCCTCGTCGGGCTCGATACGAAATCCCAAATCCTCTTTTCGGTCCTTTTAAATTTGCATCCCGTAGTACGTGCTCGGAGCAGTCTCATCCGTCATTTTGCTACTTCTAAGCTGGGTTCTCGAGCCGCTCGGAAGTGTCGCGAATCGATCCGGTCGGCCCAGACGCCGGTGTGTTTATTATTCTCATCCCGCTCCTGTTAGGAATTCGGCGAAAACACTAGAATTTTTTTTTTTTCAAGGTCTAGGTTGTCCTTTGTCATGATAATGAATGTTTGACGAACGGGAGAGGCTCGATGTTTATGGTCCTTTACGCGTTCGCTTCGGGGAATCCCCGCCTTTTGTACGGTGGCATCGGCCGAGAATGTCCACATTTTTTTTTTTTATCTCGTTCACTCTCGACTCGAAGTGACAGGACCGGAGTGGGTCCGTTGTTTGCTCACATTTTTAAAATTTAGTATGGGTTTTATGAATATCGATCCGGTGATGAGATCTCGTCTCGAGGCGGCGATGGACCGGATGGACTTGTTTTTGTCGAACGGCCCTGCTCGGCGTTGCGTCATCCGAACGCGTCGGGTCATCCTGATGGCCCGATGCGTTTATGAAGGGGCAATCGAGGTTCAAGGCTGCGTCTTATCGGCGTTTCGATGGGACCGTTTATCAGTTGGAGAGTCTTACACAATGGCAGCGTTCCGGTGCCGATCGGAACCTGTGCAAACCTGTGACGCGCGCCGCGTTTCTCCGCGTCTTCCTTTTGTGTATCTAATTTTTTTTTTTTAAATCGCCTATCACACGTTGCGTGATGCTTCGCAGGTGGCTGTGAGCAGGCTTGCAGGCCGAGCCTGAAGGATGAAGCTGGACGGCGAATTCACGGATGTGGAGCTCAACGAGAAGGCGACCGTGGAGGCGAACGGGGCGGTGAATGGCGGGCCGCAGCCGTCTGGGGAGGATAGCAAGTGAGGCTCTCTGGAGGGGTCTGGAGGGGTTTTGGTCGATCGGGGACATTATTTTTTTTTAGCGTTTGTGGTTGTAGGCTGTTGAGTGGAGTGGTTTTCGTTTTGACTCGGGCTCGGTGTGGTGGCAGGTTCTATTAATGGTTCCGAGAGGTGTAAGGGGGTGTTCTTGGAAATGTCTTTCTTTTTCGTCGGAGTCATGGTTCTTGTGGGCTTTGGGAAGAGATGGCTGGTTTATTGAGGCAATTGGGAGCTTTGGGTATCCGTGTTCGATGAGAACGTGGACGTATTACATGGTGTTCAAGTTCCAAATTCAGCCCTCTTGGCACGGCGGAGCCGATATATCAGACTCGATGCCCGTCCCTAATGCGCGGCTTGGCCTTATCGGGCCTTAAATGTAAGCGGCTTCATCTATTGGCTGTAGAAATCCTGTGACTGATAGTTTTCGATCCGTTTGAATCGTTTGGCCCCTGTTGTTTGCGATATTGCTTGTCTAATTTTAGCTTCAGTGACATTGGCTATAGTAGCCAAATTCAGTCCATATTAAAAGGGTTAATTTTAGGGCGGATAGTATGCAAATGTCCAATTTTGAGAGCATCTGCGATTCAGTAAACCCCAATTGAGGTCTTCCCGTCTGCAAGCGGCATGCCTACCGCGGCGGGGTGAAGCCCCCCAGAGGGAGAATGGAATCGGCGGGAATGAAGTGGCCCTGGGTCACGTGCCAGTCGGATCGCTTCCCGATTGGTGGATCTTCGCTGCACGGTCGCGCTCTCTTTGGAGAGCGGCTGGGAGAGGCCATCCGCTTCTTGGGCTCCCGCTTCGTGCGTTTTGTTGCGCTAGCGATGTCGGTGACGTCACCCATTCTACGTCCCTTTTCGTCCTCTCGCGAACGGGTAGCAAAAGCACTCTAAGAACATATCTCGACCATTCAGAAGGTGGCTCAAGCTCTTTTCGCTAGGCAAGAACATGGATCTGTAACACAGTTTTGAGCGATTAGGTAATGTTGGAAAGTATGTTCCATGATGACTATGCATGAAGAAAGTAGAATTTTCCGTCGATGTGTTTTCGGAAGAACTCATGTGGATGGTAAATGAAATATGACTAGCCATAGCTAATATGGGCAATTTGCAGGACCAGCTCCATTCCCTTTACATCGGAGATTTTGGCCAGTTTCCTCTGTGAAGCCCATGCTCTTCAAGTTCTGTATAATAATATGACTAAGACATGTAACTCTAAGTTTCAACTTGGTTAGACAAGTGTCAATCTGTCATTTCAACACCTGGAGTCCTTAAGGGGAGAATGTTCGCAAAAAAATAAAAATTTAGATGTTTTGAAGATAGTAAAAATCGTTTGTACCATTGGAAAACTTGTTTTCCAAAGATCTTTTTGCAACATAATTTTTACATCAAGCTCCAGCGGTTCCTGAGATATTTTTGAAAACCTAAAATATTAGTACTTCTGGCATTTCCCAAGACATAGCTAGAAAAAATCAACCAAATTTCTTCAAATTCGTAGGACTCCATGAGAAAACATGCAGCTACAAATTTCAGGTGTCTGGCACCAATATTGTAGGAGTAATTTGGGAAATAGTCATTGTATAATATATGTGAATAGCAATTTTTTGCTCATGGTCTCCTTTTAAGTCTGCTTTCTACCAGAGTTGTGAGCCATTTGCATTCAGGAAGGATTTTTAAACCTTGTCATTCAATTTCAAAGTTCTGCTGCCATCAGTAAAAGCATCCACATTAATTTTGTATATAAAAAAGTTCTTCCTTAATTGCATTAGCTCCTCATCTGAAAGGCTTTTTAGAGGCTAATTTGTTTTCCAGGAAGAAGAAGAAGAAGGGGGAAGACAAAAAGAAAGAGGAATACAGTGCTCCACCCGTTCCTTTCTTCTCTCTGGTAACACCCCGTCTCAGTTTCACTTTTGTGGTTTGTAGCATCTTCTCGATTGAACAGTGGTGCTGCAGGTGCCTTTTGTTTTGCAGTTCCGATTTGCTCAGACGAAGGAACGCGTTGGCATCCTCTGTGGGGTCCTGGCGGCGATTGTGGCTGGGCTCTGCATGCCTGCCATGATCATCCTCTTTGGGAGGGTGACCAATTCTATGGTGTACAATGAGGCTGGCATCAAATCATCCATTCAAGTCATCAATGAAACCTGCTTTAATGGAACCTTACTGGAGTCGAATGAAAGTTCTGATCCCATGGCCCTCTGCAATCAAATGAATATGTGAGTTTCTATCAGGGATGGCTTTTTGTTGCAAAAATATCAATTCATGAATGTTCATGAAAGTATAGTCTACTTTACTCACACGTTTTCAATAGTTTGTAAGTATTGAATTGTTCAGCAGTAATTGGGGAGTCATTGTTGATGACTGCTCTCAAAAGGAAATGTATTTTTTTGGAATTACACTTTAGCTTCAAGTTTGTATTCTTTTGTAGAGGATTTTTTCCCCCGAAAGTTTCACTTTGCTGTCTTCCTCAGCTTCAAGGATTGCCTCAAGGATGAACCAAACACCTTAGAATTCATTACTGATGTCTGTGAAATGGATTTTGAAGAAGAGATGGAGATCTTTGGGATCGGCACGGCTGCCATCGGTGCAGTGCAGCTCCTCATGGGCTATATCTTCGTCTCTTCCTTGAATTATGCTGCTGAAAATCAGGTCAGTATTTAAGTCCTCTAACTTGGCTCATTTTTTGTTTCAGTTTTAAGTTACACAGATCCGTCTGTCTTTCAGGTCTACCGCATCCGCAGTCTATTCTTGAAAGGTATCTTGCGTCAGGATATCGGTTGGTACGACACTCGCCAGACGGGAGACTTTGCAAGCCGAGTCACTGAGTGAGCACATTTTTTCAAGTTTGATTTGAAGTTAGTGATTAACCTCACTGCTCATTTTTGTATCCTTAAACTGCATTTGATATGCTTTTGTCACATTGTTAGTGCCGCTCTTAGATCTCACTTATTGTGTAACTCTGTGGAAATTGAAAGTAAATTTATTTCTGCTAGCATTATGGACATAATTGGCCCTATTGGGATCTAAGCTTTCACAAGACTCTTGTGCCTGATTTTCAATAACTTTAAAAGACCACAGCTCGGACAAAGATCCAATCAAGAGAAGCACCTGGCCATAAGCTGGAATTACTATGCCTGGCTTGGACCAAGAATGATACATTTGTCTTATGTTGCATGGAGAAATACAAATTTGTGCATCATCTCACATTGTGTATGCTACAGCTCTGTTTTTTTGCTTGTGTGAAAAAGATGCACTTTTTCTTGTAATCTGGCTATTTTTGTAAATTTTTGCAAAATATCTAAGATCATGATGGTGATCATGATGATGATGAAATATCTAAGATCTACATTACCCAGATGCTAAGTGTCAATATTGCTAGAAAAGTTATGTTAAATATCCTGCTGGATCCCAGTTTTCCCAGGCCTGGTTGGATGTTAATGATTTTCTTTTTTCAGAGACCTGAACAAGCTGCAGGAAGGCATAGGGGAGAAGATAGGGATGTTCCTGTTCTTCTTCACTGTGTTTCTTGCCTCACTTATCAATGCCCTTTATCATGGCTGGAAGCTCACCTTGGTTATCCTCTCAGCCATGCCTGTTCTCATGGTTGCCTTTGGGGTCATGGCCAAGGTTTGTGTTTTTGGCAGGCTCTGAAATCTTTCAATGTAAGGGTGATAAAATATCTCTTGAGTGTCTCCATTCCTTTGAAATTGGTTGTGTTTATTTTCAGTTGATGTTTAAAGGGAAGTCGATTTTATGTTTTTTATTTTGCTATTTATTTTTGACCATTTCTACAGGGTGTCCAAAAATTCATCACCTCATTTGTTTTGCTTGTAACTTTTCAACTAATAGAAAAAAACACAAACTGTAAACGACAAATATTAGTTTAATTCAATAAGTTTTTCATCTTCAAGTTCTAAAGATAACATCTAACAAGTGAATCACCTCATTTGTTTTTGCTTGTAACTTTTCAACTAATAGTAAAATACACATACTGTAAACGACAAATATTAGTTTAATTCAATAGGTTTTTCATCTTCAAGTTCTAAAGATAACATCTAACAAGTGTCCTCCGTTACAGAGCTGACAGATTCGAGCCCTTTCTACGGCATGCTCCATGACTCTAAGGCATGCTCCATGACTCGACCCAGATTTTCTTGTGGTATAGCGGCTATTTCGGCTCGAATGTTTTGCTTGAGTTCTTGCAGAGTTACTGGTTTGTTGATGAACACTTTTGCCTTTAGATAACCCCATAAAAAAAAGTCCTGGGCCATCAAATCCGGTGAACGCATTGGCCAATTTAAATCTCCATATTTCAAGATTATGTGGTTCAGGAAAACTTTCCTCAATAAGTCCATTGTCATGCGAGCTGTATGTGCTGTGGCACCATCCTGTTGGAACCACATGTCCTCCAGGGCTAGCCTATCCAGCTCAAGTACCAAAAAGTCCTGTATCATTACTCTATAGCGGTCACCATTAACTGTAACTGCATTTCCAAGCTCATCTTCGAAGAAATATGGCCCTAGGACGTTTTGGGACGTCACCCCACACCAAACTGTTACCTTACGTGGGTGCAATGAACTCGAATGAATTGCCCTAGGGTTTGCATTTCCCCAGAACCGGCAGTTTTGTTTATTGACCGAACCATTTAGCTCAAAGTGAGCTTCGTCCGACATCAATATTTTGAAGAAAAATTGATGATTTCAGCATCAAGATTTAATAGCGCTTCGGAGTAAGTAAGACGTGGTTGAGTATCAGCTGGCAATAGTTCTTGAACCATCTGTATCTTGTAAGGGAACAGACTCAAATCGGTGTGCATTATTGTGTGCAGGGATGATACAAGGAATGTTTTCCGCAATGTTTTCCAAGGACCGACTTGTTCGGGGTCTCCCTGTATGCCTCCGATCACCAGTGGTTCCCGACTGCTCAAATTGAGCCACTAACCGCTGAATGGTCTGAGCAGTAGGCGCATGTTGTTGAGCGAATTGTCTTTGAAATCCTCGTTGTGTTGCGACAATTGATGCATTGTTTCTGGCATAAATCAGTACTATTGTGGCGCGCTGTTGAGGAGTGTAGCGATTCATTTTAAAACTTTTTGGGCTGATCTTCAATAATCTGAAATAAAAAATTAAAAAAAGTAAAAAATAAAAAAGTTATAAGCAAAACAAATGAGGTGATAAATTTTCGGACACCCTGTACATACCCATGTACATACACTGTAATATTTTGTTTCTTTAAATGACTGAGACCATTAGTACATCTGTTTGTAATTCAATACCTCATTTACTATTATATTTAAAAATTTGGAAATCCCTTTAAATGACTTCTTTTCACATCACAATACCATATAAAGGGGGAAAAATGTAAAGTTTCAGAAATAATTCAGGTCTGAAGGGGTTAAGCACTATGACGTGTGTGAAGAATTTCATATGTAGAATGAAAGCTGAAGCTTTCCAGTTTCAGGTGATAGCAGTTTGGGCATAAGCCACAAGATTCACATTTCTTGGTTTGTGCCTCCTGTATAATTTAGACCTGTTAAAACCAAAGGTTCCTAGGCAGTAACATTGATTTTGAACCTTAGGCTCATTATTCAGGAAGACTGTAAGAAATGAACAGCAAGCTATAGGTCTGATAATAAAAATAAATGAATGGGTCTATCTGAGGAACAGAGCAAGACTAGCAGTTGTGGTTAAGTATGCCAGCTGAACACATTGGGTCCTGATCATCCATAAAGTTTGGGCTTCACTTTTTGATTGAAACTATTTTTCAGAGAAATTGATGATAATAATACTTTTTTTGATAATCATGGTGATAACGATAAATCAGTGTTGGGAAATTGTTTTCCTCTGTAACCATGAGCTTTGTCCCAAACTTCCTTTGGCTGCTCAAAGTTGACAATGCATCATTGGGTCAAAAAGTTCAAAACTACCAGCAGCGTGATGGAGGATCATTTGACATTCTTGCACAGTCAGCTCATCCTTCTTTCCTGTTTTCTTAAGTCTTTTTCCCTTACCCTATTCATCTGCCACCCTGTCGGTCATTCTGAATGTTTCAACCCAGTGTTGCACTGTTGTCTTCCAGCAGCCAATGTGCTTTGCAGCAGCAGCCAAAGAAAGCTAGGGACCAAGCTCATGGGCACAGAGAAAAAAGTGAAGCCCAAACTTTACAGATGATCAGGACCTGACATGTTCTGTTCGCACACTTAACCACTACTGCTAATCTTGCTCCATTCCTCAGATAGACCTGTTTGGTTTTTTTTATCAGACCTGTAGACCTGCATGAACTCCCAACAAGCCCATATTGCAAGAGTGGTCATAATAGGCTGAACATTTGTCAAACTGTTCTTGTGCCCAACCAGTGAACAGCATAGATGCTTGATGGGCTGCATGAGTATAAATTGCAAATGGAACTGGCATGTGGTTTTAGTGCTGGAGCATAAATGGATGCAATTTTGAACACTATGAAAATGTCATATTTGAATGAATTAAGAAAACAGCTGGAAATGGTAATTTAACTATTAAGGATGGAGTCTGCCCAAAGTATAGGTGCTGCTATGTCTATAGATTGCAGAAAATGAGCTGGCCATTCACATTTTGGTGGTGCTTGGCTTACCTTCACTGCTGAGTAACAGAATTTCCAAATTTGCTATTAGGGCATTCATTATGTGCTGTATAATGAGTACATAACATTTTGTTTGCCTTGCCGTAGCTGGAGGAGGAAGAGGCAAAATCCTTGTGTGAGAATCAATGCAGGGCATTGAAGGAGTCATTACTCAGCCAGCAGGAGATCTTTAGTAACCTGCTGGAAGTCGTCCGACCCTGGCGATCGTTGGTCTTTGCTGAAACAAGAAGTGCTGCATCTGAGGAGGAGGAAGCAGACCTGGAAAGACTCCGCAGCTGGGGTGCCACACCGACCAACAGTTTAAGTCAGCGCGAACGTGACCAAGCATCCAGCCTGGAGCTGGCATCCCATGCTGTCCTTGTCCCATCTCATCCTGCATCCTCTATTGTAGTGGAACGAGGTGTTGGGACTTCCCCTCCCCCAGAAGCTTATCATACTTGCCCTATTTGTGAAGATACCTTCTCTCAGGAAATTTCTCATGAGGAATTTGAGTCCCATGTTGTCCAACATTTTGAAGTTGATGAAGATTCTTTTCTGGCACAGTTTGAAATCATCAGTGGATCTGCATAATTTTTCATGTCATATATTCCCTTTTAGTATTCCATTATACATAGGCAATCAACCAAATCCCAACTTCAACAGAGGACATTTGTTAAATGTCAAGGTCACGATAAAAGGAGTGTTCTGAACAGATGATCATAAGGATGCATTCAATGATATATTGTGATGCTTGCCCTATCTTTCATTCCATTTGTGCAAAATTAGTGATTTTATTATGTCATCCAAAGTTGTGTAGAACCCCATAGAATTTGCTCAAGTCTATTGTGTTATGCTTGAAGGTCTACTGGTATTTTGGGATGGGAATATTTTCAATTTTTCTGTACTTATCAGCATTTAAGTGCTTTATGACTTGAAGAACCAACACATGAAAAAACTCTTGATTGCCTCTGACTGTAATCATATACCAAATCTGATGGAATATTCCTAATGGTGAGATGTCTGTGATTTTATTTATCTGATTTTGTAAAGACAACGATATGAAGATGCGAGTGTTACAGTGATACAAGTGTGACTCATGTTTTCTGCTGTTTTTATGTAGTTAGTACATGACACAGTGGAAGGGTTGCATTTGAATATAAAATTTCAATTTAAGGTCATTGTGCTTGCTTGCTTGATGTAAGTGAATGCAATTCTGTTGTAGGTGTAGTACATTGGGGTTGCACTTACCTCAGTGCACAATTGTCCATAAATGCATTACACTTACTATGGGCATTACATCCATCTACATCAAACTAAACCTAGTTGAGTGTTTTTTTTTTTTTCATTCAGTAGCCTGGCCTCCTTTCTGTCAACCTTCATCTGTTTGTTTTCTTGCTGCAAGAAAAAAAAAATGTATTGCAGCAGCCCTGGACAGAAAGTTTTCTGCATAATTTTTTCAATGGTGGGACATTCGCCATGTTGTGAAGAAAATGTTATTCACAAGTTCTTCTCTTCTTGAATTCCTTTGTTGCATATTTGGGGAGTATCTTGGAATTCCATGATAAATTTATAGGCATTCCATTTAATCCCACCACTTAAATCATGAGAAAATCAGAGCATGGAATATGGAGAGAACATGAGAAAAATTCTGTCCAAGACTTAAGATGTGGTATTCTTCAGATTGGGCCAAGAAAAAGTTCAGCCATTTTAATTTGATTGCTTAATCTGTCCTAATCATGAGTTATGCTATTTGAGGATAGATGGGTCTACTTTTAGTGAACTGAATGGATTCAATATAAAAGAAATAATAGTTTATCAATAGTTTGCACCCAGTTTTCACATTGCAAGGTTGTAAGTTGCAGTTGTGTGCACATACTTTTCTCACATATGAGGATAAGCCAGGGCCAGATTAAGAAGTTGCTAGGCTTGGGGCAAGTGGGACGTTTTTAATTTCCTTCAGGGAGCCCCCGGGCAACATCCCCTTTTGCCTCCCCCCCCTCCTTAATCTGGCCCTGGGATAAGCATGCATCAAGCAGTGGCTCTGGGAAATGGAGTAGTGGCAAAATAAGCTAGCAGTTTCTGAAGAAGACTGTGCATTAAATGTAGCTTTTAACAATTGAGTAATTTCAATTTAATTTTATGCATCATTGTTGCTATCCATGCTATTGAAGAATGCTTTATTGAATTGAATATGTTTCTTCTCGTATGGTAATGCAAATATGCAAACACAACAGCAAATTTTGACTGTTCTGAAAAAAATGATTAAAACTATTTGATTTCATTTCCTTGAAGAAAATTGCATTAAATTGGGAATGAGTAGTACTATTTATCCTCAAAATTACATTAGATCATAATTAGTACTGATCTAACAATCGAATGAAAAGGGTGAACCTCTTTTTTTGCCCTCTCTTCATTTTTATGATTAAAAAATGTTTAATGGGAAAGAACTGCCAAGAGTGCCTTGGTATACTGGCATCGTTTCATATACCCTGGAAATTGGAGGAATTTCCTTCGCATGTGTATTGCATGCAAATGCAATTTGCTATGTCTTGCTGATACTGATTTTGAATTTGCTTTCCTTGAGTGGATAGAGAGCAATTTATTCTTGTATCTGTTTGATCCAAAGATGGAACTTGTCCCAAATACAAGTGACTCGTGTATATCAGCGTCTCCTTTCCTACTCCACGGCAAGGGTAGGGCAAATCTGAATTCCGTGACGACTTTGAATCCCAACTATTTGTTTCCTTGTTTCACTGGAGCTGATGGCGCCTGTGTGCACAGGACCATTATACCTTTGATGAAACTTGAGGAAAAGGCGAATTGCATGACTCGAAGCACGGAAGGATATCTCTCATTGGAATGTCCAAGGTGAGATTTTGTCGTGATCGTCTTTCCTGAAGTGCATTCGGCTAATTCCGCAACCCTTCTGCTAAAGCCGCAACACTATTCTGGGAATTCCGCTACCCTTAGTTCTTCTATGGCCCCTCGCCCTTCAAGGGCGAAGTTGTTAGTTTTCAGGCTCTTAACTTTGGCAATGATGGATAATAGTTCTTCTCGTGTTCAGATTTACCAGTTCAGATATTAAGTACAAAACAACATCTCAACCAAACAAAGCGAAAAAGAACGTCTCCAAGATTCCCCGTGACAAGTAAAGGGCGTCTTTGTCTTTTCTCTTGTTTTTTTTTTTTCGGCGATGGAAAGTGGGGGCCTCAAGGCGTGTTTAAAAGGGGAAAAAAGGACCTCTAACGTATGCCGTGAATTATCCTGCTGATATTTTATTTCAAGACAGTGAAAATTATCATACTCTAGGTTTCCAATGTTGAAACAATTTTTCAACCTTCCTCTATCATCATTTATGGTTGTTCGTGGCACTCCATACATTTTGGAGTCCCACGCAAGCCCATCCTGTCAGACTTTGTGGCGATAATTGCCGCATCTTGATCTTCCTGCAAATACTTCTTGCCTGTCCTATCCTTCTTGCTGATTGTTATTGACTATTTCCGTCGTCCTCTGGCTCTTGCTGCGTTTTTTTTGTTTTACCTTTGGGGTTTCCCATTCTTTGCAAATGGCAATATCCCAACTTTTTATAGGTAACTATGAGTTGGAAGTCAGATGCGACCTGCATAAGCATGACAGAAGACTGAGCTATAAGAGCGAAATTAAAAACCTTGCCGTCAGGAGAATACAGGAAATGCTCCAACAAGAAGTTACGGAATTCACCAATAGGTCATATTCCGCAACGTCTGCACTGCTAATATTTGAAGATGAATGAATGCATGAATCACCTCTTGCTCAGTCGCAAAACTCTCGGAGGACCGAATGGACAAGCAATCTACAGTACCATATGTCATAAAATATAATTATAGATAATGTTCAACACATCTAACAATTGGACTCTCATTATTGGGCACGGTATTCAACGAGGAAGAGAACCTTGCTTCCCTTGCCCACCACCAATATATTTATTTATTTATCGAATGCCTATGCGAACTAAGCATTCTCAGGAATTGAAGTGGGGTGGTTGGTGGATGGGACCAGGGTATGCTTGTTTAGCCATGTGATGGCATCAGCATCAGCGGCGTGCAGAGTGCGTAGGCCACTATGGAGGCATGTCATTGGGCAGTCGTTGACTATGTGCGACATTGTTTGCGGCTCGCCGCATTCGCACAGTGGGCTATCGAGCAGTCCCCATCGGTGGTCATTAGCCGCAGAACGCCCGTGACCTGTCCGGAAGCGATTTAGAAGGGTCCACAGTTTCCGTGGAAGGTGGAAGCCAGGTGGTTCGACCAAAGGGTCGTCAACTATTTGGTTATTTGTCACCGTCGACTTGGCCCACTCCTCGCGTCAGCGCTGCTCCACTGGCACCGCTTGGCCTGTTGGTAAGATGGCCCAGAGTGGGTGTCGGGATGGGAGACGATGAGTTGGTGAATCAAAGAGATCGAAGTGGAGAGGCAAGGCAGGATTTGTTTTCACAAGAGCCATCATATTTGCGGCGGCAACCTCACGGCGTAGTTGCGGCGGGGCTATGTGACATAACACGGAGCCATGGCACGGGTTTGGATCTTAACATTCCAGAGATGGTACGCATTGCTGTGTTCAGCTGCACATCTATGAGTCTAGTGTGCGAAGACTGTGCCCAGATCAGAGGGCAGTATTCCGCAGCTGAATAACATATTGCCATGGCCGTAGTTCGCAGAGTATGCGCTTCTGTTCCCCATGTCGAGCCAGCTAGCTTGCTGAGAAGGTTGTTCCGAGTTTTCACTTTAGAGGCTCTCTTTTCTAGGTGTTGTCGGAATGTCAATGTACGATCAAGGGTCACCCCGAGATACACTGGGTTTGGATCATGTCGCAGTTGTTGGCCATTTAAGCTCACAACGAGTTCGCGTCTGGCGGATGCATGGTAGAGGTGGAACGCGCTGGACACCGTCTTCGTCGTACTTGGTTGCAGTTGCCATTGTCGGCAGTAGTTTGCCACAGAAACCAGGTCTTTGTTCGAGGTAACTTCTAGGTTGGAGAAGTCGTGCGATTGGAATCCAAGACAGATGTTGTCCGCAAAGATGAACTTGCGTGATTTCGTCAGGAGTAAATCATTGGTAAAGATGTTGAAGAGAGTGGGGGCGAGTACAGAGCCTTGGGGTAAACCGTTGCGTTGCAGCCTCCAGGAACTGACGCGGTCCCCCATGCAAACTATAAATCGACGGTTGCGAAGCAGTAGCTCCATCGAATTGACTACCCAGCGTGGTAACTTCCTTGACAGCTTGGTCAACAAACCAATGTCCCAGATAGTATCATAAGCTGCTGTCAGGTCGAGGAAGACCGCACCTGTCTTCAGTCTGCGCTGAAACACATTTTCGGTGAAGGTGGACAACGCCAGCACCTGGTCGCAGGTGCTGCGACCATGGCGGAAACCAGCCTGATCAACACTCAACTGGGTGTCCACTAACGGTATGATTTGTTGGAGAATGAGCCGTTCCAGCAATTTATAGCAGACACTGAGCAAAGAGATTGGTCTATAGCTCTCTGCACTGCAGGGGTCTTTGCCAGGCTTTGGTAACGCGATCACCTTCGCCTTGTGCCAGATCTTTGGCATTCGATTCTCGCTCAGCACCCGAGTGAAGAACTTAGCAAGCCAGCCCTGCGCCGGGGGGCCAAGGTGTTTCAGGAATTCTGGTGGGATGTTGTCGATGCCTGGAGCAGTGCCAGACTTCATCAGGCAGAGGGCAACCTTAACCTGCGATGTGGTGAAGACAGGGGGTGGGTCGCAGTCATTGGTGCTGAGCAGGAGTTGTTTTCTCTCCTTTCGCACCTTTTTCTCAAATACCTTGTCGCGGGTTGCCTTGGCCACTCGCAGGAGGTGGCTGTCAACTGCATTTGGGGTGACCTGAGGGCATCGTCGAACAGGAGGCAATTGAGCTGCCCCTAGTTGACGAACCAACGACCATCCTTTCCTGCTGCTGCGTGAGAAGTTGAGCTGAGAAGTAGCCTCCTCCCAGCGGATACATCGGGCAGAGTCAAGTGACTATCAGGCAGCTTGCGAGCTCTTATAATTATTTACCCAGTAGAAATGAGGGGACGGTGATTGCATTGACGTCAGAGTACATATGGCACTTTCCATTAAACTAGACAGGGTACTGATTGAGGTTTTCATAGGGAAATAATAGAATGGGAAGTGATATGTTACGGAATTACCCTCCAGTTTCACGAGTGTTGCGGAATTCCCAGATTTGCCCTACTTGAATTCTCATTTGATCGTTTTATGCGGTCGGAAAATTTAGAACAGTAGATGTAGACTTCATTGTTGTTAGCTTTGGTAACATCTATGTTGCAGTCCGAATCTGCTGAGACGATGCCAGCCAACACTAAGCAGTGTTATGAGTGCAGTGTGAGCAACTTATTTGCTGAAAGCCCTTACACTAACTGAGAGATTTTCCATTGAACTTCAATTTAGGAGGTCCGTGAACATTTTCATGCTCAAGTATTGACTCAGGAATATATTGGGTGTAATCTAGTCAACTGACAAAAGGGGATGATTTGATACCCTTGAACTTTTTTGCATTTAGGGCCATTTCCAAGTTTTGTAGGGCAATTTAATATAAGATGGATTTCTGGCAGTCGGCGCAAGAACGTTGGGTCAACATTGGCACATTGTCAACATTGGTGACTACTCGTGAATTCGGGAGGGCGTTCAGATGCTATTAAGCGAAATTTCTTTTTCTTCTTAGTCTCACTATTGTTTCTACGTGGAGTTATTCACATTATATACACGGATAATAGGTTTTGCAATTCGATGTAACTGCCATGGGGAGATTTAGTAATATCGAGCCTTCTCGAACCCAGTGGCTAGAAGTACTTAGAGTCTTCTTCTGCCTGATTACCTCCTTAAACAGGTCTATCTAGAAATTCCAATACTTTCCTTTATGTTGTAAATGGGAAAAGATCGGGTACTGCATGAGAAATGCAGAGTACTGTTTATTTCAGGGCATCAGGGTAAGAATCGGCGGTTAGGCGCCATCTCGCGTCGATTCGTAGAACCTATTTTCAGTTGATATTGATGTGGATAATTCCATGTAGAAACAACATTGAGAATACGATGAAAAACGAATTTGCTCCTAATAGCCTCTGAACGACTTCCCTAATTCACGAGTAGTCACCGAATGCTGAAAATACGGTTAATTACGAATAGCTCGCATTTCATCAATGTTGATTTTTCGTCGAATTCAAGTATTCAACCAAGTATCAACGTTTCAACATTTTCTCAATGTTAACACAACGTTGTTGTGCCGAATGGGTTGGTGCAATCGTTAGAAACAGGATCGGACAGGCCCACTGGGGAACCGGGAAGTTTCCCCGGTGGACTCCCCAAACCTTTTTTTTTTTAATAATAAATTCCTGTTTATTGCTTTCTTAATTTGCAGCATATGATTACTGTGTATTAACATTGAATAATGTATCTTTTTAATCCATTACATAATTTTTCTCTCGTGTATTCTTGGGAAGAGGAGGAGGGGGGGGGGGTCCTTTGTCAGCAATTTGAGTCAAATGTGAAACGTGGAAAAGAATCACAACTATTGGAATATGCTAAGTAATCCTGTGATCTGCCACTTCTCTGTTGGCTAGGGGGATGAATCTTTATTCGGCCCCCCATTCGGCATTATGTAGTGCAGTGGTTTCCAAACTTTTTTGGTCAAGACTCAAAATTCAACATCCAAACCCTGGGCCGCAACCCGGGTTTGGGAACCCTGATGTAGTGGGTAAATTCTGCAGAGAATAGCCGCAGATCCGGAATAGCCCACTCACGAGTAGCATTAAAGAAGTAAATTAAGCGGTTACGCTCCTGAAGCAGCTAGTGAATACCCCAGGGACCAATTGCCTCATTTTCTCGTCCCGCAAAAAAAAAAGAAAGAAGGAAATCGAGAGTGAGAGAGGGTATGTGAGGCACGCTTTCCCGCTCGGCCTCGGCTCTCCCTCCTTGCTGGAGCAGCCTCGACCATGCCCCTATCCCCTCTCCTGCTTCACCCCGTCGCGGGTCTTGCCGTCTGTACCTCCTAGACAAGCTTCTCTCGTCCCTGCTTATGGACATACCTCCTCTCCTCCACGCGTCCTATACACTCCACGTACCTTGGTCTGTACGCATTGTATATGCCATGTCCTC